AATGGCATGAGTTTTGTAGAAGTCAAAAGAGGTCTCTGAACAAAGTTGTGTGTGAAAGCTCACACAGTGCCTGCCCATACCAACCAGGCTCAAGTCAGCACAAATTCCCCTCAATTTTGTCAGCAAAAAATTCAAACACTTAAAAATAGATTTTTTGGCTCCCGTTATATCAAGGTAGAGGTATATTATAAAAGATGGTTGTAAGCCAAGGTAATAATCAACCCATTGCTTCTGCTGGACTCTAACAATTAACTGTTTATTATAACCTTAATCTATTAACCTTTAACACACTACTCAGAAATGGAGCTTTAGGATAAAGTGTGACATTTTCACTCTTTAGGTGCAATGGGAGATTTTTTTCAAGACTCTTTGGACTGCACAGGAGGCTTCTAAGTCATCTTATACTGAAGTTTGTCATTTGAACATTTACACAAACTTCCAACTCTGATGCCACAGAGCCCCATTTTGTCTTACTGTAATTTCTCATCACTTTCTGTATAGTGTAATGTACATCGTATTTAATCCTGTTCTTGATAGTTGGTCTGCTTTATTCTCTTCACTTTTCAGATATCTTGTTTTAGATGCAGCTTCTCTGTTTTCCTGAGGACTGAAGCTACTTTCAACCATAGTATTAGAGTAATGAAGTAATTGCCTTTCTGATAAATAAAAAGTGTTCTTTATTTAGTGGTACCATGCAAGACCATCTTGTATTTTCCATTCTGCTCAACTAGGATATCAGTAGCTAGTGTTCCTCTTGGCGGAATTTTGCACAACTGCGCAATGCAGAATTTTACAGAAATTATGTTTTTTGCACAGAATTTCCTTCCCCCCCACAGAAATGGGCTGCAGTGCTGCTGGCTTCAACGAGGGGCCGCTGGACCCAGCAGAGCCCAGGTCACACACAGAAGAGACTGCCAGAGGAAGAAGGAGAGAGCTAGAGGGTTCAACAGCTGCAATCCCCCTCACGCCCTTAAGGAAGGAGGGGGCAGTGCAAAAGAAACTCCGTGCAAGCCTGGGACCCAGCATCAGGCTGTTTCTCCCTCTGGATCCTGGGGCTATGAGGGGTAGGGGAGCAGGTGTCTGGGCTGGCGGGGGCCATGGATGGGCTCAGGGAGCTGACGGGTGTTTGGGATAGAGGAGGCCCTGGGGCTGGGTTCGGTGGGGAGGGGAAGAGGGAGAAGCGGGGGAAGGACATTTGGGTGTCTGGGCTAGGGGTGGCCCTGTAGCTGGGCTCGGGGTGGGGTGGGGACAGGACATTTGGCTGTATTGGCTGGGGGGGGGGGCACAGCTGGGCTTGGGGGCGAGGATGTTTGGGTGTATTGGCCAGGGCTCTGGGGGAGGAAGGAGGTGTGAGTGTCTGGCTCCCTGGCTGGGCTCTTGAGGGGAGGGGGCAGAGAAGCAGGAACTGGGTTGTCATAGGGGTTTTCTTTAGCTCTCTACTTCTGGGGGAATTTTTGTGTGTGTCTGTATTGTTACAGACATACCTCCTGACAGGTATTTTGAAATAAATGACCAAAATAATTGAAACTGGCATGATTTTGTAGTGTTATTTTGATAAATAAAATTTGCAGATTTTAAAATAGTGTGCAAAATTTTGGGGGGTTTTTGGCTCAGAATTCCCCCAGGAGTATAGTGTGCTCCCACTCATCACAAATGTGCTTGGCATGAGATTCCCCCCCTCTCTTATTGACACAGGGTATATGTACCTCTCTTCCTTAACATTACTTATATATCATTCTATGTGTGCATAGAGTCAAAATTCACGAGTTGAAGACATCTCTTGTCCAAGGTAATTATTTTTTCTGGGTGAGAATCTGCTGCCTCAGAAACTGCCTTTTTTCTTCAATTAGCTTTTACGCAATTTCAAGGAACACAAGTCACCAATAGTTGTGGCAATTCATGCTGTATCAACAATTAACCATTTTTCAATGGACTTTAGACAGAAAATATTTGCCAGCAGAGAATACAAAAAAGTCCACATGAACATACATTAAAATCTACTGAAAAGAAATTTACCTTAAGCTCCCAGTGATTGAACTTCCAACCAGGTGAATAGTTGTCTCTTAAGTCAGCACGTACGCGGACATTGACACGGAGCAGCCTTTTAAGATATTCATTACATTTCTTCATCAGTGCCTCTTTGTCCTCGTCAGAAAGAGAATTTGTGATGCCACAAGGAATAATTACAACCTGTGACATGACGCAAGTAAAAAGAAAAAGATACATACAGTAATGGAAAAAGTTGTTCCCAATTATTGTAATGTACCATACCAAAAATACCAAAAGACTCAACCTTAAAGTGTTGAGTTTAAGGATGTGGAATGTTCAAGGAAACGGTGTTGTGGTGCTAAATCCAGGTAACGTCTTTCGAAACCCCTATTTAAGAAACTTTTTCGCCAAGTATTACAAATCTAATTTTGGGTAGATAGACAAGCTATATCTTCCAAATTTTCTATCACAAGTAATATAACTCGAGAACCAACCTGATAACTCTTACTGACTTTACATTAAAAAGATTTCTTTTCATCAGGTACCCAATAGGAAATATTGATTAATCCCATTGCAAGACAGGAAAGGAAAAAAGGTGAGGTAATGTGATTGAGGTAAAGTTACGCCATCTGAACCAATTAGACAAGTCACTTTTACACACCTGAACACAAGCTACCCGAGGTGGTAGCACCAAGCCCATATTATCTCCATGGATCAATGTCATCACTCCAATGGTCCGAGTTGAAATGCCCCAAGAGTTTTGATAGGCGAACTGTTTTTCTCCCGGTATCTTGGGATCTTCAAACACAATCTCAAACATTTTTGAAAAATTCTGCCCGAGATGGTGCGATGTTGCTCCCTGAAACAGACATATATAGAAGTCTCTGCTCAATAGAAATTTACAATGACTGCTAAGTATAAGGTCATGAACATTCCTTTTTGCTATCCTTTCTTTCAAAAATAGTGAAAAAATGTGTGTATTAATATATACCTGGATAGCTCTTCCACTGGCAGATACATATGCTTCCACAGTGGTTGTATAGTCTCCACCTGCAAACTTCTCTTTTTCAGTTTTTCTTCCTTTCACAATAGGTATTGCCAGGAGTTCTTCATACACCCGAGCATACAGATCAAGAATCTGCAATACCTATGATTAAAACCTTTAAGTTACTTCAGTGATTTGGATTTACTGAGTTACTCTTCAAACATTTTCTAAATCCAAAATATTGTTGAATGGCATTAACTGGCCTACAACTGCATAAAAACCTGAACATCCTACTTGTCTTTTCTCCTCAAATAAAACTAAAGAGCAATGTTATTTTTTTTTTTTTTTTACTCATTTTGAGGTTTTGTAGAGGTTTTCTGTAAAACAAATATTTAAGCCTAGAAACCATTGAACAAAAAGAGTCATTATTACAGAGGTGTCAGTCAGATTCCATATGTGATTAAATGCAAAACAGAAGTAAAAACAGGGATTCAAACCTTGTTATATTTTAGATATGGCATATAATCCCTGTTTGTGCACGCAATGTATAGTGAAAACTGAAAAGTGAATCTATTAACTGGTTTGTGAGTTATAATTAATTATAAGTTGACCCTTTAAGAAACTGAGAATCCTGTGCCACTCTTCTTTATATGCTAACTTCACAGACACTTCAAACTTTCCAGGTAGTTAAAGCACACTGAAATGTCATGCACATGATATACTTGAAAAAATAAAGTTGTGTAGGCCAGGAAGGATTGATTTAAAAATCAACAATTTTAGTCATTACTTAAATCAGCAAGCAGGAAATCTTGATTAAAATAATCAATTTTAATTATTTTAGATTTGTACATTTTAGGGGTTTTTTTTCTGAAGAAAGATTGATAACAATTAAAACATGTTGATTTGAAACTATACATAGCCGTTACACAAAATTTGGTACTACTTTTTGCTAACCAGGAGTATACACTATATCAATAACATTTAAGCAATTACATAGCCTAACTTTTTACTAGATTAAAATTTTTAATTGTCATTTGCGCCAAGACCAATTTGAATGGAAATTCAAATTCAATTAAAATGTACTAAAACAGCATTTTAAGTTTTTTTTTATTAAATAAAACTACCTTAAATATGCTGGATACATAAGAAAAAAGTTTATCAACTGATAACTGATTTATTAAACAAAGGAAGATATATTATCTGTAGTTAGTGATCTGAACTTATTATTTCTCGTCACCCTGTCCTTCAAGCTTCTATAAACAAGTAGATCTAAGTCTCTTACACATCGTTTTCATGCATAGAATGGAAGAGGAAAACAAGCTTTTCTGCTTTTTCAACTCCCAACCAATTTCTTAACTTTGAATGAACAAATCATTGAACTGAACGAAAGAGGTTATTGCTTTCAAAAGCTGGGTTAGTGCTTCCAACAAACTGGTTCTGGTGCTTAGCCAGCAAATTTTTACTAGCTTAATATTATGTTTTGTACGGAATTTAAATTATTTCAATAGATTATAATACAGTAGAACCTCAGAGTTACAAACACCTGGGGAATGGAGGTTGTTCATAACTCTGAAATGTTTGCAATTCTGAACAAAACATTATGGTTGTTCTTTCAAAAGTTTAAGACTGAACATTGACTTAATATAGCTTTGAAACTTTACTATGCAGAAGAAAAATGTAAACTACTAAAAATAATTTAACACAATACTGTACTGTATTTGCCTTTTTGGGGGGGTGGGGGGGGTCTCTGCTGCTGCCTGATTATGTATATCTGGTTCCAAATGAGGTGTCTGGTTGACTGGTCAGGTCGCAACTCTGGTGTTCGTAACTCCAAGGTTCTACTCAGAGTTTAGGCTTTAACATAGGCGGTCATTTTCAAATTTAATAAAACTATTTAATTTAAATAAAAGAACCCAAATTAAAAAGTCCAATTTTTTTAAGTTAAAAAAAAAAATTGATTTTTACCCACCTTGAAATTAGGCTAAGTTGTTAACAATTGTATCTACTCAAATCATCACTCTTCCTCTACAGAGAAATTGCATGCTATAGCTCTACTAGGTGTAACTGAAATGACTCAAGGTGAGGACAAATGTGCCACAAGTGCTCATTGGTCACTTCATTGGCCCAGCTGTGATCGCTCTTTAAAGATTCTGTGGCTGCGTGCCGGCTTGGGCATCATTGTTTGAAAGGTTCCTTATGGCAGTGCTGCATTGATGCCACCGTTCACTGTGGTAGCACTACCGGGGGTGCTGAGACAAGCACAGAAAAATGCTACAATTCAGGGACTACTCCCTCCTCAAGATCCCCTTTCATGTAGTGCCAGTCTACCTAGTACAGTCCCCCTTCTCCACACACATTTATTCCACTCCAAGCCTGTGCACATCCATGATTCTCTATGCTCTCCTCTCTCTCTCAATCAATCACATTCACTTTGCCTGACCCCTTCTGCATCATTTAGGCTATGCAAAGCAGCTGTAAACCCAACTTAACTGGCCAGGCAATCCTAGCTGCTTTGCATTGTTCAAGAGCATCTCAAAGCAGCCAGACAGCAGGACAAATCTGGCCCTAAAGAAATTAAGATAAAAGATTTAAATTTGATATTACACTGTCACACAGTGAACTTAAGGGGATCAATGTTCAGCTCACATTGATGCTGCCAATGCTCAAATATATATATATATATAAAAATACTGGGACTTCAGGCCAGCAATCATGGGAATAGCAGGCAGCTAACAAATCCATGCTGGGTATAAAAAGTCTGTTTTCATCATTCTGAAGGAAATAGTGGGACTTGCTGTGAGTCTGTCCAGGCAGAGTCTAGGAAAGGGCAGGAGACTTAATAACGTCCAAAGGTAAGGGCTTCAGGATGAAGCCCGCAAAAGAAGCCTGGGAGGACATCTGTAGAGGAACTGATCAAAGGACTGTTTGGGAACTCTACAGTAGGGGCAAATTTGGGATATAAGGGATGAGAAATCCACTCTGTTCCCAATGATGTCATAGTTGGGGAGAAACAAATAAGACAGGATACTAATTTTCCTCTTGTAGCAAAGTGCACTCCTGGTACAAACAGACACTTGGGGGGGAGGGGCAGTAAAAATGGGTGGCAAACTAACTCAAGTACATTGGGAAGCAGTGACCATTGGTCAGCTAAAGATATTATCTCACCCACCTTGTCTCTCTTTCATAAGTATACATACTGTACTGTTACAGAGCCACATCACTAGCTGAAAGCAAAGATCAGTAATACCGTATATACTCATTCATAAGCCAAATATTTTTGGTAAAAAAGTGACGCATCAAAGAGCAGGGGTTGGCTTATAAATAGGTCAACACAAAAATTTGATGATTTTAAACTCTATGGGATCATTGAATTGAATATCTAATACATTGTCGTTTTGTTTACTTGAAGCATCTGCAGACATGGAGCCCCTCAGCTCCCTGTGGCCGCGGTTTGCTGTTCCCAGCCAATGGAAGCTGCGGGAAGTGGCGCACCACTTCCCGCAGCTCCCAGTGGGGCACCACTTCCCGCAGCTCCCAGTGGGGCACCACTTCCCGCAGCTCCCCAGTGGGGCACCACTTCCCGCAGCCTCCCAGTGGGCACCACTTCCCGCAGCCTCCAGTGGGGACACCACTTCCCGCAGCTCCCAGTGGGACTGCGCGACCTACGTCCCGCACGCTCCCGAGTCGGCTCGGG